GTTGTAACTCCTAATTTCTGCAGCGATTTGGAAGGCTCTCCTGGTGTCCCACATTGTACGAACATTCCATGTACCTAAATAAATGGTCGCTCTGGTTGTCAGAAGGGGCATCGGCCTCGTAACTTCTGAAGGAATTCGGCTTTCATCATGAGGCGTCATAATTCTTCTAAATGAAGACCTTATGACTCCCAGGGCAGAGTTTAAAAGGTTTGAATAATTTTTTCTGGTTAGCGTTTTTTTAGTGAATTAGTTTTCTACGGGATGGAGACGCTTACCCCATGCCCAACCCTCCTCCTTTATCCGGGCTTGGGACCGGCAGTAGCCCCGGAGGAACTGCAGGAGGAGTTCGACATCAGTAGCACATATCACAATTTCTGTATACAAATATATTAGGCCTTGTTAATTATTAACTTGGAATCGTTATTGACTTTTGTAAATATGTATATGGTACTACATGTATTTATCTACTCGACTTATAAGAACAGTGTCACTAACATTTTCGGAGTCGGTATTCTATCAAATTTAACAGCGCTATACTTTCGCTGTATCTTTTATTGGTCTTCTTCTGTTTAATGTTTTCGTGTATGAATCCTATGTACCTACGTTAAATTAAAGTGATCAATCGACAGAAATGTTTTGGCAACACAAATGCTGTGAAGTATAAAATAAGTGTCCAGTAAAACTAACCAACGCCCAGTACTCATGAAACATGTTATTTTAAGGATTTATTTACCACTAAAAACGGATTTTTCTATTGATGAGTAACCGATTTTTTGTCAATCTATCCACTTGGTTTAATTTAGATTTGATTGCGAAATTTTACTAAACAACTCTGTGGGCTTGGAAGCTTAGTAGTGCTATTTGTCTGAGTATTATTATTATTACTCAAAACGGCTGATTGGTGCACTAGTGCCGAAAGGACTTGATTTCGCGTTTCCTCAAAAATGCAATTATACACAAGTCTCAATAATGTTTACACAATATTTTCTATACTTGAAAAAGTTCTGTAGCATTTGAAAGAATATTGAGTCGACTTTAAAGAAGCAAGACGGGAAAGAAAAACGGGGTGTTTACGCAATTTATTTAATGTGTTTGTGGAACCGAAAAAGAATGAACGGCAATATATTTATTGGAAAAATAATTAGAAAAAAATAACTAACATGGCGAAATGATGGACGATGGGTGAGTGGAAGTTAATCCAGTAAAAGTTTATGGTGATGTGATGAAAGTGGTAATCAACAGAAGGAGAAGATCTACAAATATCTATTTGCACGTGATGAAAATGCAATGAATCTGAAGAGTCGATCTATTCCAGTAAACGTAGTACAAGTCATTCTGTTTTTAATTAGAAACCCTGGAGCAGTACGAGGAAATTTTATGCACAAGGATAAAGGAGAGTTTATTCAGTACTATTGTAATGAACGAGAACACCACTGGGGACGACTGAATGTATTTGAATACAAAATTACAGAACATCTAAGTAAAATCTGAGAACTATACAGTAAATTCTTCATTTGCTAATGTCAATCAATTGTCTCAAACTTTGTTGTTCCTTCGTTTCCACACCTATCACTCTCTTCTCATTCTTTTCTCTGCGATCTTGACATTCTGACGCCAAGCGTTTCACTTCCGATTGATGATACATACTAATTTTATCTGTCGACATCAATAGTACAGACCACAGCACAACCTTCTTTAGTACCTCTACTATTTTATAACCTTGTGTGTAGATGTATGTAAGTTTCCAAGCTGACCATCTAGAGGAATCGACGCGTTGTGCTCAAACTTTGTCTAACGAACGTCCAGCCCTGTCTCCGTCGGTTAATATATACATCTTGGCATGTATGGATGTAAGTGCTCATCAGAACCAATAAGGTCAGATGTTTATGAAGCCGTTAATTTCAAAAGGTTCCATTAAGCCAGATCGTGACTCTTTGGCTCATGTTGGTTCATTACAGCTTTATTATTATGAAGATTGTATGAACTTAGCCTAAAGGAATTTCACCTCATTTGCAGAACGAAGATGTATCAATATGGGAAACTGACTTTCTATAGACAAAAACTTGTCATCAAACATGTTATGTAAAAATGTTGTTACGTTTTGTGAAGTCTTGGAACAGTGCCTAAATAATAAGAAACGAGTGGAAAGAAGTCTACCTGTCTATACAGGCTACGGATAAATGTTAAAAAGTTCAGGATAGTTTGGGAAAACTTAAATAGGAAGTTAAAATTTGAACAGCTAATGGTTGCACAATCTACTTGTGGAAGGGGCACCAAAAATCCAACACATCCAAGGCTCATGTGAACACCACCGAAGCTGCTGACGAAAAGGAGGTTCTGTTAACCAACCACTTGATAAAAATTGAAGGGGATGCGAGAATGCTGTCTGACATTTAGAACGCAATAAGATCGGAAACATCTAGAAGAAATCTCACGAGTCGTTCTTTCGAGGAAGAAATATCATTCTCTTACGTACCCCAGGATACATTGATACCGATTGTGCTTTCTACAATGTCGAAGACTAGAAGTTTACAAAACGGTCCTTGGAGCTTTAAAGTGAGTTAGCTTGACGGGTCTTACTACTGACCATGAGGAACAGAGATTCTGAATCCCGGGTAATAAAAATAACTTTTTCTTGATTCGTAATGTCGGCTGAAATTCGTGAGGCATTTCTTGTTAACAGACGCTGGTTATCAACTGGAAGCCGTATGGTTACGGACAAGTCATATAATACTGAGAATATGGGCAGACCAAACTGGAAGTTTCCATTCCACTTGTGAACTGTCAAGAACAAGAAGAAACATCAAACAGGAAAAGGCCTTCCTTTCGAAAAACCGTCTATGAATAGTTTTGCTGCCAATTGACATAAGGCTCATTCAGACAAGACAAGGACATGAGCGCGTTTCGTCTCGAAAGTACCAACTGCATACGCGCGAACGCTGCGAGTTCACCATATAAAATGAATGAGTTTTTTTTAATTTGGTAATACTGATAAAACTCGTGCGACAGTAATATATGGAATGAAGGCATCTTACGGAATCACGAGTCGAAGTCTGAGAGCGTTCGGCATATCTTTGCTTTATAACAAAAGAAAACCTGAAATGGGAGGTGGAGAATCTCTGTATTTACTTACTTGCTAGCACATTAAGTGTGCGTTCAAAAGTTTACCAATCTTGATGAATCTCCATGGTGTTCTGTGCGATTGTCTAACATTACAAATGTCCAGCTGAATCTATCTGCGTAATGTGTACTGCTTACATGAAGTACAACAATTCAATCTTCCTGAAGTCAATTTTGCTGAACACACAATGAACGTGACAATCGTACTGTAGATCGGTTTTCCAACTTCACTAAAGAATTGGGATTATTCGGATGTGTGAAAATAGCAATTCAAGTGACAAAATGTCAGACTCCGTCACGCGTAGAGAGCATCTTCAAAAACGGGGAATCCGTAATTGACAACTCCATATCGTGTATCCTCTGGGAATAGCGATCGCCCGGAAAGAGGGAAGTCCCAGAAGTAAATCTAAGAGTTGGGATGATATATCAGAAAGCACAGTATTTAAACAAGTACACTTCTCCTGGCTCGGATATAGCTTACTCTTCTATACTGAAAGAAGTGGCTGCAATCTTGAAAATACCACTTGGTATGACGTTCTCACTTTCGCCAAGACAAGGCACGTTTGCAAACAGTTGGGAGCAGACACAACTCACACAAATTTTTGACACAAATAAACCGTGACTTTATCGGTCAGAAGTGTTTCCTTCAATACCCTCAAAAGTTATGAAGTATTGGATATATGATGGTTTTTGCAGCCACTTGTTGTCCATATACTTTTTTCATCACAGGAACGCGGTTTCAAGAAAAGCTGCTTTCTGGTAACCAACATGTTGAATGTGATAGATAGACAGATGACCAACCATCCTTGATCACAAGGAAAGGTTGATGTGATATACACTAATTTCTAAAAAGCTCTTGATAGGATCATTCAATATCCTCGAACTATTATGTATCAAATCATCGTAAAGAAAATGTCTAGTTTCTGAATGATCGGCTTTTTAAGGTCAGGGCAAAATTTACCTTTTCTCGGGCAAGTGAATGTCTTGACTGCGTTCTTCTTGTTCACCGCTAATACTTCTCATTTTATTTATGTGAATGAATTTCCTCAGTAAGTATCGGCCGAGTTATTGCTCTCCACTGACGATGCTGAACTTTGAAGAGAAGTTTGCAACTGAAATGACTGGTTGTTTGACACTTCAGAAAGCCCGGTTTGACTGGAAAGTTGGAAGGATAACAATGGATTAACCTTCAACACTTCAAGGTCCGAAGTAGTTCATCTGAGTCATTACAGACTGTGACTAGAACTTAGGTAACTTCCCTTCAGGAGTATTTCAATTTATAAAGAACCTGAAAGTCTTAATACCCTACTGTCCAATCTCTTGCGATTTCTGTGACAAAAATGCTTTTCAAACAAACCTTGCACTTTTAAAGTTGAAGTGTGTTTTGGCAAGTTTGATTGTAAGATTTCCAACCTATTCTTCAACAATTTTGACCGTCCTCATTTAAGGTAAGAAAAGATAGCGCCCCTATCCCCTAATAAAAATGATAATAATGCATTAGAGCGTATTTAAAAGCGAGCTGTAGAAGCTCAGTACCAACACAATGCTAAGGGGTCCAGAAATTAGAGGCGCAATTCTGAAAAACGGACTATAAAAGCACATTCTAATGTGCATCACTTGTGAAGTTCTTGTGTTTTTTGCAGTTTCAGGTGGTTGAAGTGATCTTCCTACATGAGGAAATTCGGCATATTCCTGAAGATTCAGGATAGTAAGTCACTATAACTTACTAATATATCTCTTTCCATCGTGAAACATGAATGATACCTCGACCAAGAAGCATCAGTGATCCATCAACACTAGATAGGAAATCTCGTTGGACGAAAGCTTTTTATTTCACAACCATCTGAGCCATTCCATGATTATTGAATACTGAAAGGACCGTTTTAAGATAGTACGTTACGTGTGGTCACGCTCGGTAGGTTTTATTGGACATCGCATGTTTTGTTTAAAGAGAATCCTCTGTGATTTGTTAGTCTAATTCATCTTAAAATATTGTTTTGTACATGTTTTTAATGTCATATTCGAGTCTTTGAAAAAGAAATTATCGTCAGTCATCACATAAATAATCGTCGACAAGTCGAGGATCCTCAATATATATTTCAAGTAATAGTTTGTTTCATAACCACAAGCTGTGGGAAAATATCTGGACCACACCTGTAAATTATTTTTAAATTTTGATTTTATTTGGCCCATAAAGTGATCAGATCATATTGGGTTACTTTTCGACTCTTAAAATGTGGTTGTCCTTTAATTTATTGGTGAACAGCTTTGATATCCCAACTCATTCAGCCGATTAGGTGGGAAACAGTAAATGCACGACTTTTTATATTTTGATCAGTTGTTATGTTCTTGTCTTAAGTCGAACTTCAGAGCCTGAGACCCTTGCATTATAGATGATATTAGATCGTAATGAAAATGCTAACTTAAACAGCCCATTATTATTTCCTGACATCAGTTTTCAACCCTGTTTCTAGTGCACGCTTTTTGGGCCTGAGTCTTTACATTCGACGTTAGCTTGGGTTTATTGCACAGCTCTACTGGCCTGGTTTTGTGTAAAATTATTGTTTCTGCCTCAATTTAACAGAATGAAAATACCTTAAAGCACATCAGAGATAAGGCGTTAGTTCAAATCCAGCCCAAACTTCGGTAATTGTACTAGTTTTATCAACGATTTGGCATTTAATAAAGCAATTTGGAGAAACAGGAATTACGCTTTTTCATCAGTCGTATGTGAAAGTATCTTAACGTATTCAGTCACCTTAAATGTGTACCGCTTTGTATTTATATTCTACCCATTGTTCGCTTTCTTAACTCTGGTCATCCTTCCTTACCATTGTGGTAAATTATAACGATACACATTTAAGCCTGGTCTTCCTTTATTCTTTCTCATGTTTGTTCGATCTGTTAATCCTTGCGTTGTTTCACCGTCGTAACTCCTGTTAATCTGTTGATAAGATAGTTTCAACTGACGTTTATATAGTTAAACCGGTAAGACGCAAACTAGATCTTGAATTAGTGTGGGTAACTAGAATCAGTATTTACAGTTAAAAGTCAGGGTTAGGAATCGGGGTTTTCATCATGAGATGCCATCAGCTATAATGCCGAAATGCTAGTTTACCTTATATATTAGTGAATTTTGGGTCAAAATCCATGACTTGGTATCTTTAATCTGATTAGTTAGTACATAATTATGTTCCTGTCAATAAAACTAATGGGACTTAACAATGACTTTTATCCCTGATAAGGATTTCCTCTGTTGTTCAACTCGTACTTTTTTCTAGAGTGCTGCTATTCAATTCTCTAATCTGACATCTATCAAACGTTAACAAGGTTTTCAGTCCTATTAGAAGTATGTGAACGGTTATCGATTTCCGGTCACATATTGTGGAATGATTTCGCTTCTTGAACGACCTAAAAGTAAAATTAGACCACAAATGTTAATCTGCGAGCTTGACAACAAACTCCAAGAGACAGTTTCTTAAAATGTCTCATGTAGCCATTTTGCGAAAGGTTCTTAAAGTTGTGGGTCTGTGCTTTGAAGGACTTACAGCCAGTAAAGTTGATTTATTTGAACACATTTATACAACTGGGCACCGAGTACATATGCTCCACACATGTCACTTGATTTGTATGTGGGCTGTGATACTGCCAGGGTGCCCAGACAGAAGCAGGTGGGTTTCTTAGGGGGTCACACCCAAACCTTCGACCTGAAGGTCTGGTCCACAAAGTAGTGGAGCAACGTAAGGAGATGCAGTCCCATGGTAGCCGGTGATCAACAATTGGTTCACATGCTATTTGTTCTCTTAGGATCCTGGAGCCTATGTGCACCACTGGTTTGGAATCAGGATTTTCCAAACCCCCTAGGTGAACTCTTCGTGTCCACCGCCGGACATTCGTTTTTCGTCAGCAACACCCCCGCCACAAGAAGGCAGTGAGTAGGATTTCCTTGACAGTGGCTGCACATTCGTAGCCATTTGAGAGCATTTCGAGAGGGAGAGCTGACTCTCCCCACCTTCAGCATTTGGGGGCAGCCAGTAAAGGGAATTCGTTTGACAGTGTGCCGTATGTTGTTTCTAAAGTCAAACGTTTCTACTCCTGTATGAAAGCAACATCTCTAGAGATGCTGGTTGTAGATATCTTACCGCCTTCACATCTAAGTACAGTTTAGAGTACGTCTTCACCCTCAAACGAGTTGTTACTTTTATTATCGTCCTACAACTGACTTCGTTGGGATAATACGGCCTAAGAAAACAAATGTCTTCGCCAGTATAGCTCGAATGGGTCACTACGGTGTTCAAGCTCGATCACCATATCAAGTTAGCTTTGACTGAAGCCATTTAATGTAAAATACATATCAGTCAGTCAGTAACAACGTAGGACTTCGTACGTACTTACATCAGTTCGAGTTGCCATACCACATTAACACAGAGATGCAGTGGTCGATTCGAATCCCTTAGTGCTAGATGTAGTAAAATTATAAGCTGTAATCAGAAAAATTAGGGTTTGAAGATGCTATTCAAGGAGTATAATCCAGTGAAATAAATTTGGGAAGAGAAAAAAGAGACAAGGAGGAATTAGGAGATTAGAATTTGGAAGGACACAAATTGTGTATGTACCTGCGCCATTGCAAACGATTTTGAGCCATGTCATTCAGGGTCTCTAACCATCGGTTGCTGTCATCTCGCGGTCCCCAACCAGGTAGTCTACACCTACCAACATGACTCAGTTCACTTGTCAGTGACTTCATGGACTTGTGCCATGTTTTGGTTTGACCGCCCCTAGCTTTCTTCCAACCTACTCCTATACCACTGAACATAGCACGTCGAGGCAGTCGGTCGTTGGGCATACGTAACACGTGTCCCAGCCACCTCAACTGATGAATTTTCACTACTTCATCAATTGATTTGCCATCCTTACCTAGTACCCGTTTCCTAACAACTGTGTTACTTACTCGATGGTCCCATGATATACGAGCAATGTTTCGAAGACACCTATGATCAAATACTAGTAACCTACGGATATCCTCTACTCTTACCGGCCATGTTTCACTGCAATAAAGTAGGACGGAACGAACTGCTGCGCAGTAAACCCGTCCTTTGGTTGATAGACGGATATCTCGCCTACGCCATAAATGACGCAAGTTGGTAAAAGCTAGTCGAGCCTTCTGTATCCGTGCTGAGATTTCGTCAAACACCAAACCACAAGGGCTGATGAGACTTCCAAGATAAGTGAAGCGGTCGACACACTCAACTACTTCACTCCCTATCATTAGTTCGGGTGTCAATGCAACCCAATATTGAAGCAACATTTTGGATTTCGAGGGGGAGAATCGCATCCCGAACATGCTTGCATTGTTGCTTAGAGTGGTCAGAAGACTCTGCATTTTGTCAGCGTCTTCACCAAATAAAAGTATGTCATCAGCATATTCTAAGTCAACAAGTGAACCTCCCGATAGAAGTTCAACCCTTGGAAATCTAGACGAGGAAAATGTTATCTCTAAAAGTACGTCGACGACAAAGTTGAACAAGAATAGAGAGAGTGGGTAGCCCTGACGAACATCACATGAGGTAATCAATTCTGATGACAGTTGGCCATAAGCTCTCACTCTACCAGTTGTGTTCGAGTAGAGAGCTTTTATAAGGTAATGTACTTCTTTGGTACTCCTTTCAGTGGCAAACACTGCCATAGAACTTCACGATCAACCGAGTCAGATGCCGCCTTAAGGTCTAGAAATACTGCGATTGTGAGGCGTCTGAATGTATGTCTGTGTTCTAAAACCTGGCTTAGTGTGAATATGTGGTCTATACAACCACGTCCAGGTCGAAAATCGGCCTGATTTTCTCCAGTTTGTTCTTCACGAGCTTTAGTTAGGCGTCGAAGTATTATTGAAGCTAATATTTTAGACACTATATTAGTCAAACTGATTCCTCTGTGATTGTCACAAGAGGACATATACTCACTCAGGATATACACAAAGCGTTTGCTATACTTGTCTATATTATAAGAAGTAATCAAAACGAATGAAAATATCTGAGAGTAGACAAACAATGTATATGATAGGTAAGAATAAGTGATGGGCAGTGGGATTCGGAGTGTCCTATTTCCTATTAACAGTTTCACAAACTCATGAGCTTTTAATTGGTTATTAACACAAATGTTACCTTATGGTTGGCAGTGGAAAATGCTTTATGTTACTTGTTTTTGTTAACGACAGCCTTCCTTTCTATGTACTATTTTTATTCCACTCTATGATCTTGGTATCTAAGTGTGACGAGTTTATTTTAACGAATGAATCTTTAGCTAAATGTAGTCAATTCATGTTTTCATTTTGTTTTATTATCTATCTTGTTAAACAATGATAACTTGTCAAACTACTTAAAATTTGTTAGTAACTGCACTATCCTAACCAAAATATTGTTCGAGACTGTCTATATAGTTTTAAAATGGAGCTGTTTAAAAGTAACGTGTCTCTAATAAATATGGTGGTTTTAAAATAATCAGGAATAATTATAGTTGAGTAAATACAGGTAAATTGGCCATGAGAAAATGGGGTTGTAGTAGCTTCCGTAGACATTGAGCTTTTTTTACCAATATTCTAAACCATTTCATATGAATGTTAACCATCATACTAGTATTTTAATACTTGTTCTTATTTTTAAATTTCATCTGCAAATAGTGAAAACTTAAAGACAATTCAGGTAGTTGTATGGGACATAATTATAGCGAGTGATATTTGGCTCGTTTGTTAGCGTTGAAATATTATTGATTATTTTGACTTGAGGAATTCTTGTTTTGATTGTTTCGACGCCTTCATGGTCTCATAATCAAAACGCCAATCTAAATTGAACTTTGTAGCTGCAACTGGACAGCAAAATCATAACCATATCAGTTTCATTTTCTACATTTCATACTACCACTAAACCAGTATATAAAAAACAGCTGCGACTCAGTGGCTTGAAACGTTAACAGAAATGGACGAGAACCGAAGATAACAATATTCGTGCTCTAGTTTTCTTTGAAATTCTCTTTCAAATGGAGAGAAACTAAAAAATGTCTCTTACTTGTATTCTTAACTGGACTTTATCCTTCCCTATACATTAATCTTCTCCACTTATTCTGTTTTCAACTACACTCCCTCCTTTTACTTCTCCATGATGTTATCTATTTATTTTGTCAGGCGCATATTATTTTTGGTGCCTGGTTATGCCGAATTTTGTGTATTAAGTAGAAAATAACAAAATCCAATTGGACGTTTGGTAGCTTAGTTTAGCTACTTTCACACATAAATCTACTAGTATCTTCCCCTCCCATATGTAAATAAATATCCAACTGTTTTCTTTAGTATTTGCTACCATTTATACTCTTTAATAATCTGTCTTAGATTGAAGATCACAAAAATGTTTTCTAATAATAGTGTTTAATTTATTCAATAGATAGAAATTTGTCTCCGATCCAATGAATTTAGCATCCATTGACAATATCATACGTGGGGCTCGACTTCAGACATCATCAAATGACTCGAGTTATCAAAATTTTTTGGATCGTTTAGTTTTGCCTGGAATGGTTTTTGAATTATCTGGACCTTATGATGGGCCTGTATCATGGTCTATTGGTCCAGGTCTTGTCTGTGTGCCGATGTCTAGAATGAAACCTGGAGTGGGGAAAAACAAAATGGTGGATTCGATTTTAGTAAGACAGGTCAGTCTCATGGTTTTTAGTTCCAAGTACCGTTGTACAACTAGATTTCACTGTTCAACTTGTTGCTATGGCTTACATGAACATATGAAATGGTTCAGTGTGCTAGTCTTATCCTTCATTGATGAGTTCCTCGTAGTTTCATCGTTCGGTCTTTTTGATGTGTAATAAACAAAACTGATTTGTTGCAGTGTAAATCTTTACACAGATACCACTCAGCATTATTTAGTTTCCATATTCAGTTATATTTCATAGCTTACTTCGACTATCAAAACTGTTTTACAGCACCATGTTATTAAAGTATACGGGTTAAGTTCCATCCATTATTATATAAGTTTGCTAACGATTTATTTTCGAATATGCTGATGTATTTTCTCATTTTTTAAAATTCTCTTAACAGTTCGGAATCTTAAAATTCAAATGTAAGAAGTTGGAAGGAACAGACTCAACGGATACAATCAAGCGTTTTAAACTCGGAAATTCATTGAGTGATTTGAGATCAGAAAATTTCATTTGGGTAGAATGCCTTGTGTCTAATGGTTCAGTAACTACATTACTTCCACTTACTCGTCTCTCATACCGTTGTCATGTGGGACAGTTTCAACCAGAGGACAAGGTTATTGGTGTTGTAATGAAAAAAGCTGGTGAATCGTTTGTAGTTGATATAGGTTGTGCTTCTCCGGCTATTCTCAATTACTTATCATTCGAAGGTTCTTCCAAAAAGAATCGTCCTGACATTAATGCAGGTGATGTTCTTTATGCCATGATTACACGAGCCGACAGAGGTAAGTTTATTCTGTAATCACTTATATACTTTCTGTTTGTCAACTTTATTATTCCCATTTTTGTGCAATAACACGTCTGTAAGCATACATTATTCTTAATGTAAGCCTCTTTCATGGAAACAAACCTAGTTTTTAACGACTAGTAGACTGTAAGCAAAAGTAATAATCGCTATTCTAAATTGATGGATTCTCGCAAACTCGTCCCATCAGGTTCTGAACATGATGAAGAGCGAAAACAAATCAGATCTAGGTTAAGAAAAAGTCTAAGGAACGACCGTGAGCAGTGGTGGGTAACGAAAGCAAAAGAGATGGAAAAGGCGGCGACTATAGGGAACACGAGACAGCTTTACAGACTAATAAAAGAAACTGGAATTAATAAGTCAAGTGTAAGTGAGATTATTTCGGAAATAGATGATACTCTCATCTGCTCCCAGTCCAGACGTTTAGAACGATGGGCGGAACATTTTAGAGAACAGTTCAGCTGGCCTTCAGCTACTCTACAACTACCCTCCATTCCCAGACAATGTGAATGGAACATTGAAGTAGGTCCCCCAACTCTTGCTGAAGTTCAAAAGACTATAGTTAATCTGAAACGAGGAAGGGCAGCTGGTCCAGATGGATTGGCTTCAGAGGTCTTTAAGGATGGTGGTCCAATTTTAGCGATTAGGTTGACTAATATTTTAGCTAAGATCTGGGAATTAGACTTTATCCCATCTGACTGGTCGCAATCACTTATCGTCCCAATATATAAGAAAGGGTCAAAATCATCTTGTGACAACCACAGAGGGATTAGTTTAACAAGCATAGTATCTAAAATACTGGCCTCGATAATTATCAGACGCCTAACTAAGACTCGTGAACTACAAACTCGAGAGAACCAAGCTGGCTTTAGACCTGGTCGTGGCTGCATCGACCACATATTCACCATTCGTCAGGTTCTAGAACACAGGCATACCTATCGGCGTCCGACGATGGTGGTCTTTCTTGACTTAAAAGCAGCGTTTGACTCTGTAGACCGCGAGACTCTGTGGCAGTGTCTGTCATTGAAAGGCGTACCTCAGAAGTACATAAACCTTGTGAAGGCTCTTTACTCGAACACTACTAGTCGAGTCAGGGCTTATGGCGAACTGTCATCTACTTTTGCAACTTCAAGTGGTGTCCGTCAAGGCTGTCCACTTTCTCGATTTTTGTTTAACTTCATCATAGACCTATTGATGGAAATAACACTCTCGTCGACTGAATTCTCGGGTATTGATCTCCTTCCAGGAGGTCCACTTATCGACTTAGAATACGCAGATGACATAGTCCTGTTTGGTGAAGACGCTGACAAAATGCAGAGTCTTCTGGTAGCACTAAGCAACAATGCCAGAATGTTTGGGATGCGCTTCTCTCCCTCTAAATGCAAGTTGTTGCTTCAGGACTGGTCTGCATCAACACCTAAACTAAGGATAGGGAGTGAAGTAGTCGAACGCGTTGACAACTTCACTTATCTTGGAAGTCTGATCAGCCCTAATGGGTTGGTGTCTGACGAAATCTCAGCACGGATTCGAAAAGCTCGTTTGGCTTTTGCCAACTTACGTCACCTTTGGCGGAGGCGAGATATCCGTCTATCAATAAAAGGACGAGTATACTGCGCGGCAGTCCGTTCTGTCTTACTTTACGGCAGCGAAACATGGCCTTTAAGAGTAGAAGACACCCGTAAGCTACTAGTATTTGACCACAGATGCCTTAGAAATATTGCTGGCATCTGCTGGGATCACCGGGTAAGTAATAGTGAGGTTAGACGCAGGGTATTAGGGAATGATGGTAAATCAGTTGATGAGGTTATGAACCTTCATCGAGTGAGATGGTTGGGCCACGTATTACGTATGTCTGAACACCGATTACCACGACGTGCAATGCTAACCGGTGTAGGGGATGTTTGGAAAAGAGTTAGGGGCGGCCAAACCAAAACGTGGCATCAGTGCTTGAATTCACTAACTTCTAGTCTTAGCCATGTTGGTAGATGCAGACTACTTGGTTGGGGTCCGCGTGACTATCGTAACCAATGGTTGGAGACTCTTGGTGACATGGCTCAGAATCGATCACAATGGCGTCGGTGTATACACTTCCTGTCTTCCCTTAAACTAAGAGATTAAAATCACTTCATATCTTTCTTTCTACGAACTAATTCTTCCTTCCTATACTATATCCTTATTGCAACCTTTGACCTAACCACTGCTATGAATCCGGTGTTCATCTTGTTGTGCTGATGCGGTATGGCAACCTGGACCGATGCACATATGTGCCTGGTCCTACGTTGTAGCTGACTGACTGACTGACTGAAATTGTTCGCATCACTGTAACAATTAGTATGAAGAATAAAGCAGATTGTCAGAATAAGCATTAGTCTAACGATATCGCTCCTTGAATGTTAATGGTTGAATAATACACGGCACATTACGTTTAGAAACATTTCATTTATTGCAAGGACGTTTTGTTTGAAAATCCAAACAAGTTATCAAATCTAGTTTCTTCTGTGATAATACTTTAATATTTTACTACATATCTCTTAGTACATTTGAGTAAATTGTTTCGTAGTAGCTGAATACTTACAATTTCATCATCATTGATTACTGATTTTATTTAGTTTTACCTAAATTTACAGAAAATAACCACTGTTTTCTCCTTTCACTCGACCCATTTATGAGGAATATTGATATAGTTTAAATTCTTATCTAGAAATTGAACAGTATCTTTTCTTTCTAAAGTATTATAGTAGATATTGTTGTAACTTGTCATTTTACATTAATACCATCAGTTCTGACAAATTCATAATCCGTTGGAACTGTTATCTCAAGTTGATTAACGTGGTCAGTTTTTCTGAATACACGATAAGGTGTTTTTTGTATTATCAATATTGTACGTCTTAACGACTGTTAGTACTGATAACGAGATTTTGTTTTCCTAGATTTAGAGATTGAATTGTCATGTGTTGATGAGGCGGGGAAAGCTTGTGGAATGGGTATCCTTGGTCGCCATGAACCTGGAACTGTTGGTAATGCTGGAGGTCGGTCTGGTGGTATACTGTTACACTGTACACAAGATTTGGTCAGGCGGTTAGGCAATCAAGATGAATTTCCTCTATTAAAACTTTTATCTAAGGTAAAAACTCAATGTGTATAATAATTTTTATTTATAGTTCTTATGAATATCTTAGAAACAAGTGAATTCTTTATATCAACACCTGTAGTTCAATAATTTGGCCGTATAACTGATTACTATTGATATAACTGTATCTAATAACTCCAGCTTTCTGCTTATTATAATCGATGATTGTAATCACATCGTTCTGTATATTTGTTAATATTGTGTATTTCTTGTGAACTCTTTCTTATTTTTATATCTCATTAAATATATCCAATTTATTTAATGATTGCTAGGACTCTTACTTAATGCCCCCAAATGCCCTGGTATGGCCGAGAGCGGGGTCGGCCCGCCTTCCCTCTTGAAATGCTCTCTCACGGCAACGCGTATACAGCCCCTGCCAGAGAAGTCCTACTCACTGCATTCTCGTGGCGGGGGTGTTGTTTATGAAAATGAAAGGACGAAAAGCGAATGTCCGGCGCTTTACCCGGATCCCAAACCAATGGTGCACATGGGCTCCAGTATCCTGTGGGAACAAATGGCGTATGAACCAATATCTTGGTCACCGGCTACCATGAGACTGCATCTCCTCACGATACTCCGCTACCTTGTGGGTCAGACCTTTAGATCAAAGGCTCGGGGTGTGGCCCGCTATGAAAACCACCTGCTTCGGTCTGGGCACCCGTGCAGTATCACAGCCTACACACACATAAATATGGTGTGGCGCATATATATTTGGTGCTTTCTTGTACCAATATTTATGTGTTGAAATAATAAATAATAATAACTCTTACTTAATGAACTGATTCACTGACATTATATGTACAGTTATTGTTTTTCTTTCACTTTCGTACTGATAATTGATATTATGTTAAATAAAATTTTGTTATTATTCAATAATTTGTACTTTAATTCCTATGTATTTCTTTATTCTGACACCATAGTTTCTTATTAAATTTTCTTTTTCTTGTTATTTACTTAGGTGTATCCTTTTGAAATATTCCTAGGTTCAAATGGACGAATATGGTTAACAGCTGGTTCTGCTAGAGAAATAATGATATTAGCCAATGCAATAGCTATTACTGAACATATATCAACGAATGAATGTTGTCAATTAGCTAAAGAACTTTGTTAAGTCTTTTTTACATTTTGATAAAATGTCTTTTTTTCTCTTCTTTAAATTAAATTTGAATATTGTACATATTTATATTGATATTGTACATTTGTAAGTCTATTTTGTATCTAATAGATTAAAGTTTACTTTGTTTTAAAAAAAATTGTTAGTTGAGAAATAATACATGGAAGTAAAGTTAATTGGAATTACAATTTGTAATGTGAATTAAAATAGAATGTTTCTCGGGTAAGTTTTTCTGACAGTTGGTTCAATTTCATCATTACTGAAATTAGATATAAAAAGATACTGTTAGACTTAAGGACAATCATACTATTTTATTAGTAAATACAAACAAGCCATATCATCATCAGTTTCATTTGGGAGCAAATATTTGAACCCTCTCCATTATCCTTTCCAATCTTGTGTGTGCGTGCGAAAGTTTGAACACTAAAACAATCACAGCAAGATAACTTGTTCATAGACAGATCGATGTTGAGAATGTTAGTGACGAGTTGAATCAGGTATTTAGAGCGTTTCTGTCCTGTGCAAGCATAGTTGAATCTACAGTAACAACGGCAATTTTTTTTACAGAAGTGAAGATTAAATTCAATATCAATGTTTTGATTTTCGGAACATTCAAACCAAAGAACACGTTGACCTTGATGTTTGAAAGATTTCCATGAAATTCAGTATAGAACAGCGTAATGAATAAATGGTATCAATAACTGAAGGAAAGGTTGTTAAGGAAAATGTGACGCTCAGTTCTCATGTAGAATTCCCACTGACTTTGTCTCAAGTATAACTACGGCTAACGATACTCGTTTTTCGTTCTGAACATCTAAGTATTTGTTCGTTTGAGATACGTGGAACTTATAGAATCCTGGTTACGAAAAGAAGGAATGAATTAATCCTAAGTCGTAGGCCGGTGCAGGAAAATAATATTGAAAGGTCATAGAGTTGTAACCTCTATTGTCTTTTTCTGAGCAACCAGAACTCATTGATTAATTTCAGTTAGTAGCCCTTAAAGTGAATCACTTCCAATCATTATCAACCAGTCAACTTGGACTATTAAATCCTCTGTTTACACGGAAACAAAAGAAGGGTCATTAAGACAGTTCAGTAAATAAACTGGTGAACTGTTAAAGCTTCTGGTGTGCGTGCATCCATAGGGTGTATTCTTTTTGAGCCAATTTATGCAACCTTTTGGATGATCTTAAAATGAGATTTCGGAGAGGTTACATTACCGAAGTTGATTATCTTGATCTTAAAACAACAACACACTTCTCATTTTATGAGGTGCGATCTCCTTTTCTTGACTCATTCACATCGTATTATTCTTCTAGTGGACAATCTTACAATTATAATCTATTTTCACTTTGGTTCATTTTATGATTTTGATACCTAAAAACACTTTCGATCACACTTTAAATGATATGGTATCTATCTATTCTGTTATAGATATATGGATTCTAATTAGATATGCATATGAATGTATAATTTTGATAAATGACATTGTTTAAAAGACAACTTCCTTCTTTAAATTGTCTTGATTTCGTTCTCAACGTTGGAAAAGGATTCATTTGTTACTCAAAAACGGTTTTGTTATAATTTTCACTTTTATGCAACAGAAAAGTTTTCTTTTTATTGAAAACTACAGAAGTTATAATGCTTAATAATTGATTGAATGACTTGATACTTTCAACATTTACCAATGTCATATTTCTTCTGATACTAATCAACATATACTCACTAGTGAGTGACTTCAAGAAATATATCCTGGAGTTCTAGTGAGAAGCAGTGACCAGTGGAGTTCAACCAGGTCTGTTGTGAGATAGTAACTCACTGAAGACAATGGTGAATATGTCGCCCAATTTCGTGGATGAGTTGAAGTTAGACATTAACACCGTTGGATGCCGGCTCAGTGGTCTAGTGGTTAAGTGCTCGCTCGCGAAACCAGTAGGTCCTGGGCTCGAATCTCGCAAGGGGCGAGGTCGTGGATGCTCACTGCTGAGGAGTCCTACAATAGGACGAAACGGCCGTCCAGTGCTTCCAGGTTTTCCATGGTGGTCTAGCTTCAACTGACTCATGATCTTAACTATTGAAATTACTACAATCTCCAAAAAACCCCTTCTGATTTCTTAATATTTACTTAAAATTTTATTTTTCATATTACGTGTAACATTTAAAGACATTGATGAATTTGACGATGAGGTCGAAATTCATTCAGCATAGATATACTTCATTCTTTTTGTTTATTGTTGAAATCACAAAGAAATTTGAAATAAACAGAGAGAACAAATAATTTTCTTACAAATTAGACAGTTTGAACTTAGTTTTATTACATTTAGTGATATGATTTAAAATTGTTAAAGGTTCATAAAGAAGTAATTACAACATAAATACAATGAATGAGTAACCTTTATCTTCTAAGTAGTTCACTTAATTACCTTTTAAAACTTCATCTTTGTTTATATATATCACTTACTAAGCTACAGTTTATTTATTTTAACTGTTATAATAGAAAAAGAACATTTGGTATCTTACAGTTAAGTTAATCAACTCATTAATTTGAGCGAACTATTTTGGCGCTCAATATATATGTATAAAGTTGATGCAATACATTCTAAAGTGAATTACAAATTCGGATCTGTTTAATTCATTAATTAATTGAATTTAACCACTTTTATGTTCATTTAAACAGATCTATTTAATTGTTTTCTATGATAAATAGATCTCAACGTAGCCTAACTTATTCATCTACAATAGATAGATTAATGATATTAACAGGTAAAACTGGTTTCAAAAGAAAAGAGAAATGAATAGTAGGTTGTGGATAATTTTTATTAGGTAGTAGACAAACTCTGTTTTTAATTGTATACATTTACTATTAGAATTGCTTAAATCTTCGTTTCATTTCTAATAATGAAGTAAATAAAAAATGCAAGAAAACAATTTTGGTGTTTATCTTGTTCCCCAAAATAATGTTACTACTCCTACTACTCTGGGATTTGTCTTGATAATTTTGTTGCTTATATGTCATAACAATCAGATCCAATGCATATATGTACCAGGATCTTTGTTACACATGACTGATTGACTTATTCATAATATCATATTATAATTTTAATAAGCGTTCCAAGCAGATATAACACATTACTCTATTAAAGTACCCTATGGAATTCAACATTATATTCGCAACTACAAATTAATTAAGAAATACCTGGAGAAATGAGACGACCTAGATGTCTGCAACTTATTGACTCATCTATAGTTAATATAAATTTAAAAACCGAATTGTGATTATGAAGACTTTAAAGTGGAAAACATTGTACTGCCATAAATTAATCATAAGAAAATTGCATTTAACAGAGAATTACTTACCTTTAAATATTATCAGAAAGTTGAGGATTCATTCTTTACTGTGACTTTACTTATTACACCATTTGAACAAAATCTTCAGTCAAGTTGAGGTAAGCTCGCAGTAAGGATATTAATTATGTATGCTAAAATACAATCATTAAGAATAACTCAGCGTTTGACAAATCCATTTTTCTAGTTGATTGTTTTCTTTTTTTCCATACCTAAACTATGATAATTTCAATGTTTTCGCAAAGATACCCACACATTCGTTATTTTTGTCCACATAATTATCAGCTATCATCGACTTGTATGGCCGATAGTGGGGTGGGCCCGCCCTCCCTGTCGAAATGCTCTCTCACGGCCACGCGTATACAGCCTCTGCCAGAGAAGTACTACTCACTGCATTCTCGTGGCGGGGGTGTCGTTTACGAAAATGAGAGGACGAAAAGCGAATGTCCGGCTTTTTAACCGGATTCCAAACCAATGGTGCACATGGGCTCCAGTATCCTGTGGGAACAAATGGCATATGAACCAGTCGTTGGTCACCGGCTACCATGAGACTGCATCTCCTCACGATACTCCGCTACCTTGTGGGTCAGACCTTTAGGTCAAAGGCTCGGGGTGTGGCCCCCTAAGACAACCACCTGCTTTGGTCTGGGCACCCAGGCAGTATCACAGTCCACACACAAACAGAATGAAATGACAATACTTAAGGAAAATACTATACTTGCTTCGATTAACAGTCAAACGATTCAAGTTATTATTATTGTTATTATTATTATTATTTACTACATCATTTACTCACTCTCTTTTATTCTCACTTTATATAGTGTGGCGCATATATATTTGGTGCCCTCTTGTACCAATATTTATGTGTTCAAATAAATAAATCGACTGAATGTTCAAAATGTTTGTGAAATTCATTGCTTCAAGTTAACCTCAAGAATCATATATAGTTAGTTCAGTCAAAATTTTTAAGAATAGTAAAAAGAAACAGAATTAACTTTAAAATATCCTTACCTATACTAAGTAATTAAATGTTATTATTTTTTCCCTTAAATGGTTTTGTACGTATTGAATCACCAGTATACAAGCAAAAAGTACATTTTAATGGTTAAATATATGAATTCAATAAACAATATCAACTTACAACATAATATCATAACATTAATCTAATAAACGCTCAAAGAATATTCAATATGTGTTAAATAAATGAAGGCTATAATGGTCGGAGCTAATGATGAAAAGTTATCTTCATCTTATGACCAAATAGTTATATAATGTTTAATGTATTCATATTGATAAGTTATATGTAGATTACTAAAGCTTAAATAAAAAAATAGATTTTCCCAACTCTCACTGAGTGGTTGTGATTTCTAAAATTACTAGAATGGGCATTTGTAGAAATTGTAGTAATTTTTGTAGTTGTATTCATGAGTCGATCTAAGCTAAATCACCAGTGAAAACCTGGAGGGCTGTTTCGTCTCAGCATGAAATTCCTCAGTAGTGCGCATCCACGGACTTGCACGTGGTACCCGAACCCATGAACTTCGGTTTAGTGTGCGAACGTTTGACCTCTAGAGCGCCGAGCCGGTATCCAATGGTGCTAATGCCTACCTTCAGTCGATTCCTGATCTTGCGTAACCCTTCATCTATTGTCTGAGGTGGATAACTGTCTCCATCCGACACGGATTGAAATCTACTAGTCACAGGATTGTGGATACACACTGCTGAGTAGTCCCATATTGAGACGAACCGATCGACCAGTGCTTCCAGGTTTTCAATGGTGATCTAGCTTAGGTTGACTCATGAATCCAACTGTTACCATTTGTAAAATTAACAATCGTAAACTAACTCTGGAATAACACTAAATTGGGATCGT